CCCGTGGTGGGCAGAGCACAGATAGCCCTTTGTGTAGCTTTGTGCTCAACTACAAACAAACTAGTAATATTACTAAAACAATTAAGTGTGAACGCGGCCTCTTAGTTAAGAGGAATAGTAGTGAAAAATGGTTTAATACTCATAGTAAAAACGTAACAGCAACATAGATGACAAATAAATATTAACAAAATTTACTGAGGCGTCTTAAGCTTTCATAAAGATAACAACCACAGCCCCTTTCTTCTCATTGAACGTGATGTTAATTTCAACACTTCGTTTCTGCGGATAAATGTCATGTAATAGGTAGTACGTCTGTATTGCGACTCATGACTGGATCACATTACTACTACTGGGCAAGGATTATGTTTCTGAACTACCAAATAGTAAGAAAATAATATTAAAGTATACAGAAATAAGAACAGCACATGCAACTTCCAGGTAAAGAAAAGTATCCGTAATTGTGTTCTTTGAACCAATTTCAAACAATTTGAGCAAGACGATTTGTTGCATTAACGTCTTTAAAGACTCTTACCATCAGAGTGTGAGCATGTAAGGCATACGTGATTGTCAATATTCAGAAATACAAGGTATACTATTCTAAGAATCTAATATTTGTGAAGGGAATGTTTCCCAAACCATTATTCCACCTATAGCGGTAGCTTACATTTTTGGAACAACATAAGCAGGAGCCAGTGCCTCCATGGTTTCTCCATTTTCTCCACCAACAGTAGAAAATAAATAGTTCTACATAAATCATTAGATCACATTACGTATTTCCAGTTATTCATCGTCTTCAATTTACGCTCTAAGCTACACTAAAGACATGCTTTTCCGTTTGCATCTAAAAAAAGCAGTTTTTTTTTGGACTGGTGTTCGGCTGCCACATGATAGTTTTGTAATGCTTTTTCCTGATACAGTTGGAGACAATGAAATCCTATCCTGATATCTGTTGACTTTACAAGCCTCTCCAATTGTCTTTTTATCTGGTCAATCATCATCACTTGACGGCCACTGTTTTTCCAATGACAGGTGTATGTATACCTTGTAGATTTACATCGTTGGCAAACTCTTGTGGCATATGACTTTGAATAGCCAGCCAAGGAGACGATCTATGATAACGACGCTCTACTAGTGGATACCTTTTATTATTTGCCTGTGAATGTTACAAAGATCATTAGGCGAATAATTACAATGTAGACTAACCATGATATGATTAAATGTCTATATTTTTGAAGGAAAAAAAAGCAATAACTTGATACATACAAAATAAAGTTATTATTTGTGTGATACGTACATAAAAGTACTATTCTGAAAATAACTCAGTGTATGAGATAAGGGTACATGTATAAAATGATTTATCTGTAAAGTGTACCCAAAATCTATCACGAATTATCTTAATGTGTCCCGTTGAGTTGGCAGAAATATTAACAATCAGCGACCTATCTTATTTGTTTGATAATTGCATTATTATATATAAATATAATGCATTTAATTCCCATTGCAAGAGTATGAGGGCTTGAATAACTTGCAACCAACGGCAACGGAATATTATGTATCTCAGACGTTTATAAATTTGAATCAAGTTGAAAAATGTTTTAAAAGCTCAAGTTTTAACAAAAGCCAAATTCTGCTTACTCACCTAATTTGCAAAAGTAGTATTTATCTGGATAGTAACCATACCTAAAAACAGAACCGGCCCTGGGCAAAATTGTGGCCTGTGCGAACTTTGCATTAGGCGTCCCTGCCCCTGTAAAATTGACAAGAACTCTTAATTAAAATATTGATTTTGTTGGTCCTTGGGGTGGGCACTCTGTACGGGGGCACACGTCGCCCACCTCAAGTACTACCACTGCCTAAAAACAGTAGTGCTTGATGTTCTAAGTAGAGTTCTCTTCCGTTGTTTTTTATACCTTGAACAAAAAACGCGTTATTCATTTAAATATTTTGTTTTGTGCATATTTTATATAAATGTTTTTACCTTTAGATTGTATTCGAAGTATTCTAAACATAAATACTGGCGCTCCCTGGCCTGGTGGTTAGGGCGATCGACTCGCGGATTCGAATCGTCGTCACACCGAACATTCCAAACAAACAAACCAAACGTCCGCTACCCCACCCCCTCCAACTTCTGTTTCCGACTGCTCCTGAACTCTAATTTACAAAGAAAAAAAGCAAAGTTTAGAAACTCCTTGACTGACGTTGAACCTTGAAAAGGTTTCATCTTCTGTGTATTTTCTGGGAGAGGAGCTGACATGTGGAAGATGTAAATTTCAGATAAGGAAACGCGAAGTTCGGGTTCTCCCTAATCTTATACCAACACACTTCCAAAGTATATCCTGTAATTCGATTGATAGGACAGCAAATTGGGCATCATTTCTACAGCTTTAGAGTTTTCTTTTACAATCACTGTAAGGGTAAGGTCCTTCTACTACAAGTTTTACAAGTGTGTATATGGATAAGTAACTCTTACTTCCGTCTTACCCATCTCCAACGGTTTTATAACAGATCTGTCTGGCCTTCCAACACATTTATATTTGGAATTATTAAATTGGAACGAAATAATCCACTTGCTTTCTGTAATTGCTCGCAAACATATTTAATTTAAAGGTTATTTACTTATTTTGCTTAAATCATTTCTTGATTGGACCGTACCAACTCATTATCATTATTTCATATAAATTATTTTATTTTATACCGATCAAATTTGGTCTATCCTTCAATAAATTGTTATCGTCTGATTATTATTTGATATATTTCTTGTACAATTTACAACTGGTATATTGTTTTGTCTAAAATCGAAGTGAATAATTTACCGTCTAATATAATATAAATGTTGAACAGTGTGAAGCACTCTGAAAAAAAAAACACTATATTTCTACCCTGTCACTTTGTAAATTACACATAATCGTGCTTGAAAACGTTTACTGAATTATTTTCCCTTTTTTCAGTCTGAAATTGATCGAGCTCGTAGTGGTATACCAAGTTCCTCTACTATGACGTCATACACTGAAGCAGCTAACACCTCACGTTTTACAGCGACGCCTGTAAAAAATACATTTGTACATCCTCAGGAAACCCAACTCCATGCTCAATTCACTAAACCTATCCAGCACTCCTTACTACAGACCAATCGAAATTTTCCAGCTTCAATGTCATCACAAACTTCGGTTGCTCCAACTCGACTCAAAATTGTGAACGGTGTCACCTGTGAATCACAACCGTCCAGCAATTCATTACTGTCAAGTAGCGTCACCTATCGGGGTCTACCTCAGTTTCATATTGCTGTAACAGAGACGACAGCGTCTCACTCCAAAAATTCACACCAGGTGACACTTTCTAGTGGCACTCTAACGAATGGTAAGGAGAATGTTTCTGAACAAGCAAATGTTCAAAAAAGGATTTTAAACTACACATACACACGTATATATATATATGTAGTCTAAGAATAGTATACATGCTTCTCTGATGGATTCTAGGCTATTTTGATGCAGTAAATAATGTGAACATTGCCATGTTCCAATTATCAAAACTACATACCTGTTATGGTACCAACTTGTCATTTCATGAAATATTTAAGAAGGTGTTATATAAAAGTATTTATAATTGAACAACTAGATACAAACTGATAATTCCACGAAGTATTGGGGTAATACTTATTATACAAATCAGTTTCCACTCGGGCAAATTACTGATCAATCATTTACAAACTGAGTCTTTTAAAAGTCAGATTGATGCATGCTGGAATCTGTATGCTTTGTGACAACAATTTTCTCAGTATTATTTGACTAATAAAGGGGGATGATAATGCAATGGAAGATAACGCATAAGACAGGTAAAATACAAAAATGTATTATATTTTTCTTTCTTTTTTGAAACTCTCTGAGCAGAACCTCTGACTTCCTTTTAAGTACAAATATATCTTACTAGGTCAAAAAATGTAAATGAAATAAAACACTTTTAAATTTTTCATGTTCAACTTTTTGACTTAACAAATACTAAATATCAATATTATAAAATAAATGTAATACTTTATGAGCTGTATTAATTCTGTATTGTAATGCATGACCAGATTCTTTGGATCAATGCAAAATGATAAAATAACTTATGAGACTGAAAATAATTTTGGAGTCTGTGATATTCAATACATATGTTTTAATTTGTATCAAAAAATCCTTGGTTACCAAAAATAATACCGAGAAATTTCTCGTATAGCTACTACCCAACTTTCATCAAATCATGTGTACCTATGGCCAGTTTAAGCTTCATCTAAATTATTTTACACATAAAAATAATGGGTAATGAAAGAAAAATGTCTATTCTAAGTGATTCTACACAAGTGGACGAGAAGCATGCATAATAAGGCGGATGGCAAAAGATTCAAAGCCCACAGTAAGACAAGCTTGCTGATTTGGCAGTTCTTCTGAATGATGGGTGAAGCTAATTAAAGTAAAAATAAATAACAATTAATGTTAAGGTAAAAAAATGTTGTTATTAATCTTTATCATAATTTTAATTTGTATATTATTCATATAAAATTGATAAATGTTACTCTTCACCAACGTAATTTTGTTCATACCATAAGATTGGCAGTTCATTCAATTTGATAACATAAATATAGTCTCAATCACAACCATGTCTGTCGCATCCGCGCCATCATGGTGAATCCTGAATTTAGGCGAAAGGATAAATGCGTTTTGAAATGAGGTTTTTGATTTGGTTTCCACTTAAATGTAACTATCTGGTCTTCTCCAATTGTTCCAACATACATTTTCAGGGTAATCTGAAATCTGAGTCAAACTCACTAGACTGAATACTGTTATTTGGGGCTTTCCCTTGACCACCACCTCATTTGGCGACCTCATATTTATTATCTGTAACAATGGTGACGACAAGGCGAGGTGAGGGATGGCAAGTGTCACCCCTGAAATTTATCTGCTTTTCCTCCTGCTTTCCCTACAATTTCCAATAAAAACGTAATAAAAGATACATCTGCCAGAATTCAGTGTTTTCAGTTATCAGGCAACCCTACACAAGGAAAACTCACCCAACGAAACATGATTCAATCTATTAGCCCTGTTGTCTTTGCAATTAATCACAATAAGAATTAAGAAAATTTCGAAGCTACTCAGTTAGGTTGAAGCGTGGGCACCCAAGTCTAGAGATAAAATTAAATTGGAACCTTGAGCCGCGACAAACACATTAAAGAAGGTGATTATAATGTTAAACAAAACTATTTTATAACTTATTAATACAGTTACTTAGTTTTAAATCTATATTTAAAATATAAAATGTTCATTGAGTTTAAAATTTCATGTTAATGTCATTAATTCGCAGAGTCCGTGTGATACTTCAATGAAAAAATGCGCCGAGACGATAAAGAATATTAACGAAAACATTCCGCAGCAAAAATAATTATTCTTTCTTAGAGCTTCTTAATTGATCTTCCAAGGTTTCCTTCCATTTATCCTCTAAAAAAGCCTTCTCCCCTACTCCCAAGCCCATCTCTCTACTACCCCTCGCCTCCTTAATTTCAGAATTCTGGAGTCAGTACTAATCCAGAAACCAGCTGTCAGAAACGTCTAAATTTCATTCGCGCAGTTTCCAGTTAAACCTGGGGTGCTGTTGGGGTGCTGCTTGCTTTACACCGTTTTTATCGAACCTTTATTCGATCCAAGTACTATTTCGTACTGCTTGTTTTTTCTTTGCCTGGACCTCATTCAAACTGCAGTCTTATGTATTTATCTAACGGATATGCAGTGCTCCCCCAATTTCTATTTTACAAGTCGTGGCCCAGAAGCTTTTTCTTCTTTTACCCTAGGACTTTCCTGGATTTTTTGTTTTTCTTTAATGCGGCGACCTTCAATACGTCTGAACATATTTTTATAATGACGTTTTTATTTAAAGTGGATGAGGTCATGGATCATCTAGCGCAGTGATTCTGAACGTGGGGCGCACGCCACACAGGGGGACAATTTGAATATATTTTATGGGCAATTTGAAAATGCTACAAAAATAAAGATTTTACATTATATTATTATACCTTTTCTACACCAAATTTGTTTTTATATTAAGGAGGCATCAAATTTTTTTGAGGTGTCGAGGTGGGTCATGGAACAAAAAAGGTTTATAATCACTGATCTAGCGGCTTTTGTGTGTGCATAATTTTTAATTTCTGCTCTTGTAGATCGTGCTCGTGAAACGGAACCAGTTTTGATCATAAAAGTTCCTTTCACCATGGTTTTGTTAGATCTTTTCAGCAACCAGATTACTCTGAAATATTTATAGCAGAATTCTCGACTATTTTTCTATTTCTTTGTTGGATCCTCAGTAACCATTCTTACAGATTCCCTCAATTCTCAAGAGGCTTTATGGTTTTCGTATTCCCAAACTTATTTTTCCTTAATTGATAATGTAATCCTTTGCTTTCACAATTAACTGTTGTTTGTTGTAAAGTTCAATTTGTTTGGATTACTGGTCACTCAGGCAATATGGAGGATTAGCACGTTGGTCGTATTGCTAAAGAAGCATTAACACAACATTTGGTTACTGCTTCTTTTCTTTATAGTAAATGTGAGTTCCTTCATACTTTAACTTATGACAGAGGAAGATTTACTTATAGGATTTTCTATTTCTATTACCAAACTCGATGCATTTTCTTTCTGACAGATGCTTAGACATTATCATTTCCCGTTTACGTTTGGATACGTGTAGATTTAATTCCATTTTACATAAAGTTGAGGTAATATAGAAATATCGACGTTGTGGTTCCTTCCTGAAAACTAAAAGTCGTGTTACTTCTTATTTTGTTGCTTACTCTTTTTCTCAAAAAGTTTTATGCGACTCTCTTCCGCATTTTAGAACTCTGTTACAACAGTGGAAGTCACGTGACGCTGATGAGTTTCTCGAACGATGGGGGAAGTCAGAGTGTGATCGAGATGCCCTCTTCGTAGTATATAAGCCTGGCAGAGAAAGCCAGCAGGGTTAAAGCACGAAGAGAAAGCAGTAGTTACGTTAAGTTCCGTGTAATTTATGATTCTGTTAGTTTCGAGCTAGTGTGCCGTAAAGTGTGTGTTTTGCACTCGTCATGAGCGAAGTTATCGAGATTGTGAATCGCTGTGATTTATAGCGTGTATTATAAAAGTTGCTAAGTTTAAAGTGATGAGAAACGTACTGATTATAAAACTACTTTGTACTAAAAGTTTGTATCGAGGAAGAATAAACTGGTTTAATCAAGAAAAGACTTATATCGCTGAAGATCCTCGAAAAGAATTTCTACCGGAAACAAACAAACAACCAGATACGTAACAACTCCTTTCTCTTTTGCAAAAGTTACTAGGACCTTAATGTTCTCATATTACCTTGCATGTTCTACTTCAGTTTTTCAAAATTAGTTCCCTCATTCTGTAACTAGTTTATTAACCTATACATAATATCAGTTACTTTTTCAGGGAATTATAATGTTATTCAGGTTTTCAGTGACTCGGTGTATATGGGTCTGTGTGGGTCTCCAGTGCCAACTAAACCAAAAACAAGAACAAATTTTATGATTATAGTGAACATCAAAGACACGGCTATGTCGAATTGAGCCTAACAGTAATAATATCTTGTTTCTGGCTTCAGCACCCCCACATTATTATTATTATCAGATTTGAACGCTAAAATCCGGAGTTTGATTCCTCGTGGTGCATAGAGCGCAGATAATCCATTGTGTATCTGTGCACTAAAAAACAGCAAACGATCATATAATATTGCCAAAACTTTCACGACCTAATAAAGACTTTCGAAAAAGCTTAATAATAAGATCTTACTTTTAGTATCCATCAGAGATCATTTCTGTTAAGTACCTTGATGTTTTGTGAGTTTAAGGTGTATTGTGTAATACAGAAATTCTGACTTTCTAATATTTTCAACAGGTCCAACCGATCTGACTGTTAAGAAGCCTTCCATTCCACGTTATTCACTTAATCCAAATGAGGCCAACGCTGTCAGACAATTAATTGCTGGTTACCGTGAATCGGCTACGTTTTTACTACGATCAGCCGACGAACTGGAACAATTACTAATGCAGCAGAATTAACGACAACTCGAACTGATAAGACAGAAAACTTAGTTTCGTTCTCTTAAAGATAAATGTAATATATTTGTTGGTATATGATCGACAAATGAAGAGAATTTGGTACCATTTTATGTCATGAATCAATGTTGGCCTCTTCAGGGAATTTTTGTAAAACATAAAACTCAAACTAATTATTATTAGGCTGAATAAGACAATTTGACTTGTAGCAGTGCCAACTTTTTTTTATCTTGATGGGCCGATTCCTACATGGACACAATTCCTTTTTTCGAATCAATTATTCCGTTGATTTGTATTCACGACGTCACGTACTTGAGTGGCATTACTATTTTCAGATCAAATCTTCTGTTGATCTGAATCAGTGACACCATTTTCAATGTTAAACACCATTATTTAGGTGAATTGTGGTACTTGTATTTAACGTTTTATTGTGGTAAACTTACAAAAATATTTCAATGTCGTTACACTAATGATCCGTTCATACCTTTGTGGTAGCTTACGTTAATAAAATCAAAAACAAATTATTAAATCGGAACAAGATAAAACAGTAATAATTTTGCATATATGCACCAATATGGCAGGTTAATGCATGCTCAAGATACGAAAAGAGTCCAACATAGAGAGGTCTGCTCTCTGGAACTACCACTCACCAAAACACCACTTCCACAGCATCCAGAGTACATATCTAGACACTTGCTTTCAGAACCTTTGTCTCTGAATCATAAAAGATCATTTACACGGCCAATTTGGTAAGCTACTTCAACACTTTGCATGGAGGCTCAGTAAAATACTGCGCGTGTCTTGTTTTCCTGATCCCAGCTTGGTGTGTTCATTTCTCTTTCACGGATATTAATTTGGTACGATTGTACAAGAAATAACAAATAACTAAGTTTATGGGTATATTTACACGTCAAGAAATACAGTTTGTATAACAAAAATAAAATCACCTCCTTCAACAGCATAAGTACTTTTATCGTATTTACTAGGTGGCTCAGCGGTAAGCTCCGGAGCTGAAAATACTAAAATCGTGGTTCGATACCCGCGTTAGGTACAGCGAGATAGCTCATTATGTAGCTTTGCGTTTAACAAGAAACAAACAAGTTTATGTGAAATTATCACCTCACACAAATATGAACTTCATTAAATAGCATAAAAAATAAGTATGTTAGATTAAAAAGTTCAAATATGAATTTTTGGAGAAATCTTTGAATTGTCAAATGTTTGTGGGAAAATTAAATATTTTTGTATGTGTTGAAACTGCCATCACACAGAACCAGTTGTTGACAATCCTTCGTTTTTACTTAAGTGCCCCATTTTGAGTTACTAATCTTAAATTAGATACTGAATAAAGATAGTTTTGTATTTTTTCACTAGTATAGGAATTCCCAAAACAAGTTAACAGGAAATTTATAAGAAGGATATAATTTCATAAAATGTAATTACCTGTTTACTTATCTTTTATATCAGCCATACTTTAATTGCTTAGTAAAACAATGGATTTAGTCCCATCCTATGAAAATCACAGTAACCACTTCAGTCGAGTTTTAAAACAAGGCTTAAAAGCTTACTACATTTAGATCATTTCATTTAAAGGACTTACTAATGAAATTTCATCTAACTATTTTTGAAACTGTTCGACAGTCGACTCTTAGCTATCTAAATGATGCTTCTTAAGTAATTTCTAACTCGAAGCAAGTTATTGAAAAAATTATACATAACTACTTTTTCTTTAAGTCCTCGTATTACTTTAGAAAATTCGACATTCCAACTTAAAAAACAACAGATTTGCGATGTCCAAATTTTGAATTTTCGATCCTAAACACACAAAGATACCACTGACAGAAAAGCATTCCCAAATCATTCTCATAGAGTTCAACATTGACAGAAAACTGCCTCCCAAATAATTCTGCCAAACTGTAGCTCAAAACTGACAGAAAGGGATTCCCGATATTCTGTTAAACTGAAAAGAGTAATTCAGCATTCACTTTTAATTTTAATGAATGTTTAGCGGATAGATAATATCTATTTGTATATTTGGGGGAAAAAGAAATTACTTTTTTATTTTTCTACATACATGCATTTGTTTTAAAATACCCATCTCTTAAATGGCAGCAGATATCAGGTACGTTAATGTGTGCTTTTTTACGCAGAATAAGTTTATATAGTCCTAATTTTATAGTTGATAAAATATACAGTAAACTATTTTAAGGAGATGTCTTTAAAATAAAAATTAGATAATCAATTTAATTAAAGTGTCAGGTTTAAGTAAGGTATGTGATTCGAATAATTTAGGATTTAGCTGTGCATATAGTAAGTTAGGCTTAGCTTGACTATGCTGTTACATTTGAAGAGTGCTCCCCGGTGGCACAGCGGTATGTCTGCAGACTTACAACGCTAGAAACCGGGTTTCGATACCCGTGATGGGTAGAACACAGATAGCCCATTGTGTAGCTTTGTGCTTTATTTCAAACAAGCATTTGAAGCTTCGTTTTGAAATATATGGATGTTGTAATAATTTAAGTAAATATTTAAGTATTTGCTGTTTAAAAATTTTTTGTGACAATTTTGTTATAGTTGAATTATGTTTAGTGAAATAATAACAGTAAGGAAGCATGTAACAAAGGGATAAAACTGCTTTTAATAACGAATATTGACATACAATAGTTTCAAAACAAAGATATGAATGTTCATAAATTGTCTCCAGGCAGGGATCGAGAACTGTATTTTGATGGTCACGGAACGTTAAATCTAGTGCTGAAAACTGCTAAACGTGGTGTTATAATTCTATATTCATAACCTCTTTCACTGGCTACTATGTTATTTTATTCTGGCATGAACCATGTGCTGGACTATTACTAACTCACAGTTTATTTTTTAACGCCCCCCCCCCATACCCCGAATAAACCTTAGCAACGTCCCTGTTATACCTGATCGTTTTTATCTCCAGATAGATATGAATCACGGCTTGACATACGTTTTAGTATTATTCACGTTGTCAGGAGAAAACACATACGTTGATTGTCATAGGAAAATTAAGCGATGTTACTATAAGTTAGCCCGACATTGTTATGTGTTAATTGATAATGTTGAGTAAGCCTTGAACGATGTCACGTGTTTTTATACGCTTAGCTTTATATAAAGTTCACAGAAAATTAGTATTTAAATTATGATTGTAGAAAATGATGGTTCGTTTGTTACGAATATTGAGACAAAAAACAATTTCCTCTTAAAGTAGTATTTGTTCTTGGGATTATCTCATCTGAGGCATTTCATTTAAATCATATTTATCTAATATTTCAATCACGTTATACAAGTTTAAGTTTTACTTAAATTGATGTTAAAAGTGAGAATTCATATCGTGTAAAACAAATATTGCTTAATTTAAAAGACACGTATCGCAAGTTCGGAGTTCTAAATCTAATCCTTCAGCGTTATTAGCTCATAAAACCTTATGTTTGATAACTGAAAAAATTGGCTTTTAATATATTTTTCTCGAACATACTACTTAAAAGGAGGTTGAAAACAATATTGATCTGGTATTATTGTCTTGAACAATCAGTGCCATCTAGAGGGAAAATTGAAAGTTTTGTATTTTTCTATACATCAGTATTCAAGACTCTCGTTAGATAACAAATCTTATACCATGACATGTGTTATCTTAGTCTCCAGCATTAATTGAGTGTACACTTTGTTTGCATGTACACCAAGCATTAAACTTTTCATCATGAACTTGAACTGTAAAGAAATTAAATTATCGACATTGAATCTGCACATTGTTTGTCATAAAATTCAAACTATTACAGCAACCGCTTCATTTATTATGTTGTGTAATTACCTTACCTTAACTTATTTTAATGTTTA